GTTTCCTTTGTGAAAACATCATTGAGTGGTAACGATAAGAGGAAAGACGGATTACAGGGTATCGGAAAAATGAATAGAAATCAGTCAAACTAATCAAAAAGAGACTAGGCAGTAAATTATCAAAGACAACAGGAACATGTGATAGATCAAGCATAAACACTGCTGTTTTACTATTGATGGATTTTTATTTCGAGGACAAAACAACGGACAACTTTTTTCTTATCGTCTTCTGGGGAGTCTTACACGCGGTTTCTTGAGAAAGGTATTCTTATTGAGCTTCAAAAGATTATCTCCCGGGGATATATTCTGCTTGATTGGTCACCGAGAAGAGCTAAAATGACCAAATCCGAGACGAAGTCAATTCAAGTCAAGTTAAGTAAAGCTTTACGCACCCGATAGGATGAATTTTCAGCATTTTCGACATGTTACAGTAGGGAAAAAACGTTAAGTATTGAAAAAAGAAGAAAATATACGTTTACTAAATGACAAACAGACGGGTTTAAGTAAAATCCTAGTGTGAGAGATGATTATTCAAGTCAGCAATAATATTTGCTCTGTTGCTCAAGATGCGAGCAAAATAAGGGATCATGCTGTTTTTATGTGTGGTAGTGCGTGCATAAGGAATCCGAAATTGGGAACGGGTGCTCAGATGAGAGACCGATTTAATGAGATGGGAGTGCAGGCAGTGTTCTTCGTTGGACAGGATATGGCTGGTAAATCGATCGCATGAGTCAAAATGCTTGCTCACAATAAAGTCAACCAAAACGGTCTTTGAAATGCCGCTGCAACGAGAAAGAAGTTTAGGAGATCTGGAAAAGAGAATAAAGTCTTTCTCCTTCAGACCAGGAATATATACGGGGGAACAGTACAACCAATGTGGAAGAATGCAAGCAGTCACAAATTTAGGAATTACATTTGAGGAAATGCCGAGCTTTTTAAGCCCAAAGGCGTGGAATGATAGCTTACGAACCCGAATGTAAATGTTTTCAACATATTTGGACCAAGAAAAGTTGTGTGACAAAGTAACTCCAAGATATTTCACAGAGTTAGCTTTGGGGATGATATTATCGATAACAGAAAGTTCAGGCTCATTATTCAAAAGGGTTTGATGAGGCATGCCTGTTTTAAGGCTAAAAGAAATATCCAGACATTTATTTACGTTTAGCATTAAAGATCGGAGAGTCGACCGACTAAAAGTTTTATTCAGCAAACTTGAATTTGACAGAAACAATCGGGAACAGTTGAGGGACAGTCGACCACCACGTCATCAGCATACTTGCAGGTGATAAAGTTGGGAGGGGTGGGAAGGTCCTTAATATACAGTGAAAAAAAAAGAAATGGAGACAAAATTGCACCCAACCAATTGAACTGCCTTCAAGTATTTTCGTGATAGCCTGATCCATGGCCTAATGAGGTGGATTCATGTATTCGGTCGTGAAATAATCATCCGAAATTCGCATGATGCAATCGACTAGATTTCCAACCCTAACCCCACTCCTACCTATAGCTGCTCTTCTACTGTGACTTGGGCAACTGATTAGTATAACTACTCCAGCCTGATACAATGAAAACATACACTTCCCTCAACTAAGTCTTAGCTGTTTGCCCATTTTGTATACATGGAGCAATTGGCTGTTTCAGGTCAGTAACAAATTGTATTCCCTGTTTTGGCTTCAGAATTGTGAAAGGGCATTGATATACGATATGATCCTCAAATTGAGGCCGGTGGTATTTCTCCCCATGGATTACATTTGCCGTAAGGTAGGTTTGTTTTTGCCCACCAGATTTTCAACGGCCGTTTCGTGTTTTTTTGTAGCATTCCTATCTCTAATAGGCGTCATTAAACTGTTTATAGTGCACTACTTGACTAAAGAAAAGGGACGCACGTACGGGACTCATAAACAGTATGTCGAACCATAATGTCACAAAAAAAGGACAAATCTATTGCTAGTGGCCAAAATCCCTCACTTAGATTCATTGCATAGAAGTCTTGTCGAATGACAAACTCATCTTAAAAGGAGAACAATTAGTTAGTGAACCGGACAGGATCCCTTTCAAGTGATCGCTTCCAGACAGTGTAAAACACAATCCGATGGTGCCGCTTCTCTGTAGAAGACTCTTGTAGTTTGGATTTCACACTGCAAAAACCGTACTAATAACTGAGGGGCGCGCAAATCCCGAAGTCAAAAGAAGATGAAATTGTCTTGATGTGCGGTGCTATTATCACCAAAGAGTGTTTAATAGCAGTTACATACAAACTTCGAATCATGAGGCCAATCGAGAAGTGCTTATGTGCACTGTCAAGGCACAATCAAATGGCATTGCGTCAAAGTAAACCAGCGTTCGCTGAGGTCAGAAGAACCTTCAAAGGCTGTCAAGGCGATCAACTCATCGATTTCAGATGCGTGCAGTCCAATCAAGGTCATCGGTCAGAATGACACACCACTATAAGGATCCAATACCTGACAGTCAGACAATTAAATGTACAGGATTAAAAAATCAATTGTGTTCATGCGCACCTGTTAATTGGTAGAAAATAAACGGGTGAAGTGTATGGAGAGCGTGAAGTGCTGCCGGGGAGCAATTAAACGACGAAGGTGATAAAAGTCAACAGACTCACGGGGTATACTGCTTAGTAAGAAAGTGGGGAAATGGCAGGAATCAAGGCTAGCTACGGAAATGGACACAGATCTTTGGGTATGAATAAGACGTGTCTGGTTGGAGAGTGAGACGGATTAAACTTGTGGTTTCTGCGGGTTCAGTTGACACGACACACTCATGTCCAATCTACTCAACTGATAGTTCTGTCGGCTGTTCTGAATGGGATTCAAGTCGAAGCAGTTTCCTTCAGTCAAGTCTAATAGACCGTTTGAGGTGTTTAAATTCATGATTTGGACGGAATTCACACTTTTGTGCAACATCCTTGGTAACCACCTGAGGTACCAATTTTAGACATTCCACTAAAAATTTTATTTGAGCTTTTCAACTTCTCACAAACAGACCTCATCGGGAGAAGTCAGATCACATCTGAAAAAAATAATTATCTATTACTTACGTGGAATAATTGATATGCTGGGTAGCTTGGCATTGCCCATACAGTCAGATTCGTCTATTTGATGCACAGATGTGCAATCAAATGTCCGTTATTGTTCACGTGACCCTAGACAACGTCCAACAGCAACACCATCACGGTATTTAGCATGCCGCGGTAATTTGAAATCACCCGTTAAAATTAATAGCGGTCGTAATTTGTGAGAAGACTCACAATCCTTAAACACATTCTGGTTCAAGGAATCACAAACCTAGTAAAATATGCGCTGCTGACAATGCCTATCAATTCGCATTAAGTAGTTGTACCATTCCTTTAATATTTCAGTTGAGCATGTTACATGTTGAAACAATTTCTAAACACGAGTTAACTCCATTTGTATGAATACTAGTGGACAGTTCCACGATGCAATAAAACAGTTCCCAATGCATCCAATTTCTTTCTCCGTATGCATCAGGGTGAAGTTGGAAAAGAGATGTACATTGTGAAAAGTGGAATCGTGGAGGTGGTCGGTGGCCCGAATAACTCAATCGTGTTTGTCTCATTGAAGGAGGGCAGTGTGTTTGGTGAGATCAGGTATATTTACATACGCACACTTCAATAACCATTGCACCATCTTAATTTCAATGCCCAATATCTTTATTAATCAATTCCAAATGTGTTTATTGTGACGTATATGTCAATACAAACGCGAGAGCGTTTTCCGCGGAAGCAAGATCGAAACCAGTTCAATGTCAATCCGAGCGTGAGATGTGTTTCCTGATGAAATCGAAATGCTCAACTTTAGCACGCTGAATGGCTTTTAATTTGTTCTAGTTGCTCAACATAAAGTGAAACGTTTCCTTATGAAGCTAATCTTAACATACCTACGAATTCGGTCTTTCTACGTAGATAGGGTCTGAAACGTCGAATGCTAGCCTCCTCGGTAAAACGTAGTAACGTATACCCTGCTTGTGGATCAAGACACGATAGGCATTTCTAGCTTTGTCACATTTTCATGCTCCTAAATATGAAGGGAAATTGGAATGAACGGAAACTATCTACTCGTTTGACGCCAAATGCTTAGTTTTGCGCTCTCATACCCTATGAGACAGTGGTCTATCAGTTCTTCCGACGTACATGGAAAAGTTTAAACACAAAAGGAAGTAACGGCTGATTTGGGTTGAGATCGGGTTGGATTCAGTGAACATTCGTTTCGTATCGCTCAACACCATAATTGAGGCAACATTCTGAGTTCTCGACAATAATTGTTACAAATTATTAAATCGATTTCATTGTCTAATTCACTTTACCATTATCCAATTCAAATCCCGAAAGTATGTATTTTTTTCTCTGACTAAACACTGTAGTACGTGATATATTTTGGATATTTCAGTCTCCTGGCCCTTTCAGGAAAAAATCGTCGTACAGCCGACGTTCGATCAAAAGGATTCTCAACTCTGTTCAGTTTGTCCAAACAAGACTTTGAGGAGATCATGAAAAACTATCCACAAGCGCACCAGTTATTGAAAAAGCGATCCCAGTAAGTTGAGAAAATACTGCCGAATTGTGAATACATTTGTAACCAAGTTGTCATGTGCAAATAACATCTCATGATATAAAGTAAAACGTTCCTGACCGTGGTACGGAAGATAGATAAAATAATGGAATCTTACAAATAACAGGAGTGTTAACGAATACAATCCTATCGTGCACAATGCAAATAAAACGTTGGTCGGAAACTATCGAAAACCATACCGGTCATCCATCAAACCAACGGATGATCAAACACGGAACTTCACAGACAGAATATGATGGTGTACTTCTGTAGTAATCAATATAGGCACGGATGACGGAACACGAATCACGGTCACGACTTAAGCACAGAATTGCACTAGCAATTATAAGCGGCTATTTCCCGCCATCAATCCTTCAGAAAAAGGCCGCAGAAACAGAGGTTGGTTTACTGAGTAAAACCAATGAGATTAAACAATTTGCACAAAGGAATTGCATTGTTGACAAAATATTGAAAATTGGTTCTTGTAGCTCCGATGAACTGAATTCCATTTCACCTGTTCGCCCCGAGCAATTGACAATTTGTTTGCAAACGTTTCATCACAAGCTGAGGTGAGATCATTAGTGCTTGTGAATTGCATTGTTTATCTAGATCTCCACCAATGACCTGATTGCATTCTTGACGTCACACAGCTCCCGTGTGAACCTCACGGCATCTGGTTTGTTAGCCCTATTGGCCTGTGGTTCGTTGCCCAGAAACTGTAACGCGTCGCACCATGGTTGGTTTTCTCCCGTAGCCTAAGGTCACCACACCTTCTCATGAACCGTGGGTCAACGTTAGTTTACAAATTTCTGATTAGTGAAACTGATCTTTGTTCTTTGGAATTAAAAACATCGATTTTACTTTGGTTAATTCATAAGAGCAGAAAGAAATGGAGACTATTATGAGGTCCAATCAGTTCCGTTATCTCTATCACATTTTGATTGCTATACGCTACAATACAAATCCAACTGTGGAAACGTTATACACATATATGGTGGTGGTGGCGCAGTGGTTTAGTCGCTGTCACCGGCGTACTATGGCCCGATGGTCCGAGGTTCGAGCCCCGCCACCGCCACCCGACGTTGGTGGTAGGCAGCTCTGCTGTCTTCCGGTTCAATACCATGTCTAACCTATCGGGGCCTTATGTGGTTCGCCACTCCAAGTTCCGGGGCTTAGGTTGCCGATTTAGACCACTGAACATCAGGTCCTCGTGACTATGGGGTTTACCCCGTCTGTTGTTCATCACACCTAGATGTGTAATAAAAAATATATATCCGATCGTTCAAAGGATAAATAGTGGGCTTAAACGGTGATTGATGTCAAGCCATCCTAGCGTTTCGAGTCAGTTAAGTGTACAAACATTAAACCACTTCATGAATGGCTATAAATAGCGGCTTTTTAATATCACTTTGAATATTTAGGTTAGATCGGCTTGTGGTGATAAGACAAAGAGTACGTACACACCACGATGCACACTCTAATTAACCAATAAGGAGACGGAGTACCCGATCAATCTTGTGGTTTCAAGTTGAACCAGTCGGATTGGCTGGATGCGAGAAGGGAACCAAGTGGGTAATATCGTTGTGCGTTGGACATGGAAGAATGAACCAGTGATTGTTTGACACTCGTGAGATTTATTTGCAAGATTTTTCATTAGAATTAACTGTTACATGTGAGTACTGGAGGATTTGATTTAATTTCATCAAAGAAATTCGTCGTTTATAAAGTAAATAAAGTGTGAATTGAAAAGCTATGAAGCACTGGACAGTTGTTTCGACCTGGTNCGAATCCATCGACCCAACTGGGAATCAAACCCGGGACCTCACAGGCAGAACGCAAGCATGCTACACCCTCGGCTACCGTTTTTCATTTCTGATTGGTTGTGCTATATCGTGTAATTTGAAAATAAAAAAAACGGTCTGATTAACTGCTCGGTGGTCGATTGGGTAGCACGCTTGTGTTCTACCTGTGAGGTCTGGGTTCGATTCCCAGTTGGGTCGATAGATTCGAATTGTTGATGAGCGACAACCAGGTAAAAACAGGTTTCCAGTTTACGTTTCATTTGCTATATACACGACGAATTCCCACGAAATTGAATCAAATCCTTCATTACTCATATTGCTCCTTTGTTTTTTCTGTTTTCCTAATTATTTTTATTTAACCTTCGTGTCTAATTGCAAGGAACTAGTTGATCAGTTTTTTGGATTTTATTTCCATATGCTTTTTGTCGGCTGGAGAGTGAATCGTTGTCACCCAGTTTGCGGTTAAACGTTCATAAAGTTGCCAGGTTAGTTCTTTTTTTTAATTCATTGTAGTAGCAGCTGCTTAATAAATCGTACAAATGAATTATATCCACAGCGCGTCTTGGTTCTTTGTACCTGACTTTGCGCTATTCAGTGGGTTTCTCGGTCCAAATTGGAGTCCGACTACTATTCTGAACATGTCAC